GGTGTGCACCGGAACCAGGTGTTAGGTTTGGAAGTCCCCAGTTTCCAGTAAATATGCCCATTTCAGTTAGGCCTCAGATTTACCGTATCGCAGATAAAAAATCGGACTAGCCTCACTCTCCTGCTCCCCTCGGCTTCTTGCTTACTCTCTTACCACTCTATCCTATTCACAAGGGAAGTAGTTATTTTGAGAATTACTTACGATATCATTCCTCAACATTTTTCATTGGACATTTTCCGCAAATAGGAAAATGATTAGATAGAAAGAAATGAGATAGCTGTATTATTACTATCCCGAGAAATAAAAATATCATGAATTTCAAGGAACTAAGGAATTTTGGAAAAAATTGGGTAGAAGATGAAAGAAGGAGAATAGAGGAAAAGGTGATGACCCTTTCCTACTAAATAAGAAATAAAAGGAAGTGAGCTCGATCAAAAAGAAACAGTACAGACTACTCTCAATGAAAATGAGGAGAAAAGAAGAAAGAGGGCTGCAAAATGTGACTCTCATTGTCAAAGAGAAGGTAAGGTGCGCAGGATTAGATGACGACATTACCAACGCAAACAAAATAAAAATTACAACGCGGCTGATAGCTCATTAGACAGCTCCTACTCTGATAACGTATCTAATGGTGAATCAGTTCCACTGATCTCACAATCAAACTCCAGGTTCTATGTTGTTAGCCAACCTACGGAATAGACCTTTATCCCGCCAAAAGCCACGACAGTGGACAAAAAACTCCAACCCAGTGAATTCTCAGCAATACTAAAACCACTCAGCTGCCTTTCTTAGCGAGGTAAGTTGTGCTGGGGGCACCTATTCTGTCAAAGCTTGATTCAAAAGCGAAAAGATCGATAAAAAAAGCAAGTACTAAAAATGCTCACTTCGTTCCATTCATCGAAGAAAGTATTGGTAGGTGGGATATCGCCGAGAGGCTTCAAACCGGCTTCTATATCGTCGTCCATATACTCTGTTGCAGTTTGTTCGTGATTACCACGGGTGAATGTTAGTGTGAGACCACTTTTCGAACTCAAATCCATCATCTCTACGTCACTGAATTCATAAAATTAAAAAGTCTGGAATTACGTAGAGATAAAAATTCTGCGCCATCTCTCGTCTAACCACCACGTGTAGGATTATGGCTGTTTAAAGCTGGGAC